TGAAAGACCAGTTCTTCCCATTCCTTCTAGAAGGCTTCTGGGACAGATCAGAAAGATTGTGATTAGTCACATGCCGGCACATGTGTCCACTAGGACCAACCAGAATCTCTCTAACTGTCCCAGAACCCAAAGGAAAGAAGAGCAGAGGGCTTTCAAATCTCTGGACCACTGCACCGGTTGCGTAGGCAGCAACACCTCATCATCCATATAGGTAAAGGCAATGGGGACCAGAAAGTTAGTGAGGGTGTCAGGTGTTAGTTCTTCTTTCCAATATTCTGGAAAGGTGAATTTACACTTTAAAGCTGCCATAGTCGGCTTATATTTTGCATGATGCTTGCTTAAAGCGGAGCTCCACCCAAAAGGAGATGTTCCGCTTTAAGGACTGCTCCTCATTAAGGATAGGCACCTTTGGGAGGCGGGGGGGGAGCGGGTACCCGAATTTGACAGGTACCCGCTCCCACTACCGGCCCGATCGCCTATGCGATCGGAAGTGGAAGGTGTTCTCCCTCCCTGTAGGCTTTTGGGACATGTGACAGGTCCCAGAAGACTACAGGACCATTAAGAAAGTGCAGCCCTCCTCGTGCATGCGCAGTGGGCACCCAGCTGTGAAGCCGCAAGCTGTCACAGCCAGGTGCCCACACTGAAGATGCCGGCCTCCTGGAATACAGGACGGCCAGTGAAACAGGCTGCGGGGGACACACACCATGGGACCGAGGGACAGGTAAGTGGCTGTTTTTTTAAAAGTCAGCAGCTACATTTTTTGTAGCTGCTGACTTTTATTTTTTGACAGGGTGAGTGGAACTCCGCTTTAAGTGCTGTGGGTGGGGCTGGAATCAGATGCAGCCACTGTTTGGGTATTCTGAAAGCCTGGGTGCTGGCTATCAGAATACAATAACTGGGAGGGGAGATTCCTCCACCTACACTGTTTAGGGTGGATGAGGGAGTCTACTAGACTAGGATTCTCAAAGGATGACAGAAAGAGATTTTGTCTGAACTGAAAGGGGAAATCAGTGTAATAAAATCCTTCCAATTAGTGGATTGGGTTGTTTCATATACAAGGATGGAGCTTCACTTTAAGGCCTACTCCAGCCCCATCCGGCCATTATGTTTGCTGTTTCTACAAGCATTTAGTATCACAAATCTTCACTACAAGTGACACCAAACACCACCCCTTTTTAAATACCCCAAATCCTTCATAAAACAGGGCCAGATTCTACCTCCCTATCCCCTCCTTTACTGCATAATGTTTTCTATCTCCACCTAAAACTGATTATTCAGGGTCTGCGTGATTGCATTGACCCACATATTGGCTTGAATGGCAAGATCTCCACTCAGACTCCTAATAGTGCCTGGCATGTGCCACCATTAGAATGCTGGATGGCTATGTTACATCCCCCCGCCTGATGTATTTCAAACAAATCATTTTGGGGTCCCGTTGCAAGAAAATGGCACTTGTGGGGGAGGGAAAAGACACAAACATGGAAAACGCCCAACAGATGTCATATAAAGGCCTCGTTGACACGGGCGTACTTAAGCATACACTCTTGCGAGGACCGTGTTTTGCCTGCAAGGAATGCACAGCTGTTCTGTGTCTCTGCATACAGGTAGTACCATTCATATCAACTGGGAAGCAGCGGCTGCATGGACACAGTGGCTGCTCCCAAATTGACATCCATATGAGTGTGGGTGCATGCGGGTGCATGTCTCCAAACTCACACTGTCTGCATTATGGACACGCACCCTCATGGATGTCAAATTCGGAGCAGCCGCTGTGCCGTGCAGCTGCTGCATCTCAGGGGACATGAATGGAACTGCCTGCAGGCGGATGCGCAGAACAGCTGAGCATCCTGTGCAGGCAAAACACGGCCCTAACACAGGTGTACACTTAACTACGCTGATGTGAACGGGGTCTAAAGCCAGCCATTCAATCAAGAGATATCCACCCTAAACCAAAATATTACTTCTGGCCGGAGTGGGCCTTTAAAGGTTCAACGTGTTTTCGGGTTGGTGACCGTTTGCCGAGAGAAGGGTCCGGGTTCACACATGTCACAAAGGAGAAGGACATCGTCACAGACTGATCTACAGTGTATATAGCAGCAGTGTTCTCTTCCCAACCAGACTGCCATCAACTATCGATTTTTGTTCTTCTTGGAATTTCCCTGAAGATACAGAGGAACCAGAAAAAAATTATTGCAACATACTTTGCAGAGAATCACAATCACTGAATAAAATGTTCTTTATTCATGAAATGAAGTTGCAGCATGATATTGGAAGACAAGAGAGGAAATGGAATCAAACAGCTGCTCAGAGAATTCCAACAGATCAACACACTGCAGAGCTGGAATACCGAATGGAATTATTGACTTTCTTTTTCCATGTTGTACGGTTATCGAGGAGGTTTGTGGGAACAGAGACATCTGAGAGGCGTTAAAGATTAAAGTGTTACTAAACCCAAAACAGTAAAATCAGTCTGTGGATGCAGCAAAGCATGCTTGTTATACTCACTGTGGGACCTAAGGGGTTAATCCTCTGCATTGTGTAAAAAGGCTGTTTGATCCTGTCTTCTCTGATCCACCCTTTCTTCCAGTGTCCCCCTCTTATCTCCTGATAAGACATGTCACCTGGAGACACTCTGCACATTGCTCAGTTTGGTGTATATTTCTAGAGAGATTTTTTTTCTTCTTGGGAGAGTGCATGTGATTAGCAGAGGGCCAATCAGCACTGTCCAGACAGAGGTCAGGGGTCCAGCATCCTACTAGAGCAGAATGAAACTCCTCCTACAAGCTTTAAGCAGTGCTCTGCTGGACACTGATAGAAGTCACAAGACTGCTATATACTGCTGATGAGAAAAGGTATTTAGCAGTTTATATTTGCTAAAAAAATGCATTTCCATGTTGTGTGTACTGTGGGAGACCAGATATAGGGAATGAAGGGTCTGAGGAGACCAGATATAGTGAATGCAGGGTCCGAGGAGACCAGATATAGTGAATGCAGGGTCTGAGGAGACCAGATATAGTGAATGCAGGGTCCGGGGAGACCAGATATAGTGAATGCAGGGTCCCAGGGGGTCCGGGGAGACCAGATATAGTGAATGCAGGGTCCGGGGAGACCAGGGGAGTGAATGCCGGGGAGACCAGATATAGTGAATGCAGGGTCCGGGGAGACCAGATATAGTGAATGCAGGGTCCGGGGAGACCAGATATAGTGAATGCAGGGTCCGGGGAGACCAGATATAGTGAATGCAGGGTCCGGGGAGACCAGATATAGTGATTGCGGGGTCCAGGGAGACCGGATATAGTGAATGCGGGGTCCAGGGAGACCAGATATAGTGAAAGCCAGGGGTCCGGTGAATGAGAGCAGATATAGTGAATGCGGGGTCCGGGAGAGCAGATATAGTGAATGCGGGGTCCGGGGCAAGCAGATATAGTGAATGCAGGGTCCAGGGAGAGCAGATATACAGTTGTGTTCAAAATAATAGCAGTGTGTTGAAAAAAGTGAATAAAGCTCAAAATCCTTCTAATAGCTTTTATTTCCATCCACACAAATGCATTGGGGACACGACACATTCTATTCCAAATCACAACATGAAGAAAAATATATCAAATTTGTGTTGTTCCTCTAAAAAAAATTGAAGAAAAGTGAATATTAGACTGTTCACAAAAATAGCAGTGTTTGTATTCTTCTTTACAAACTCAAACATTCACTATATAAACTGAAAAATGCTTGAAGATTTTGCTTTCCTTTGAATGACTTCATGAATATTTGGTTGTAGTCGCACTGTTTCTGAGAACTGCTGTACATCTGTGTTGCATGGAGTCCCCCAACTCCATGCAACACATGCAATACCAACAGGTACTCCAGCCCAGGATGATTGGACTACATTCCACAATTCTTCTCTATTTCTTGGTTTTGCCTCAGAAACTGCATTTTTGATGTCACCCCACAAGTTTTCTATTAGATTAAGATCCGGGGATTGGGCTGGCCACTCCATAACATCAATCTTGTTGGTCTGGAACCAAGATGTTGCACGTTTACTGGTGTGTTTGGGGTCGTTGTCTTGTTGGAACACCCATTTCAAGGGCATTTCCTCTTCAACATAAGGCGGCATGACCTCTTCAAGTATTCTGATGTATTCAAACTGATCCATGATCCCTGGTATGCGATAAATAGGCCCAACACCGTAGTATGAGAAACATTCCCCATATCATGATGCTTGCACCACCATGCTTCACTGTCTTCACAGTGTACTGTGGCTTGAATTCAGTGTTTGGGGGTCGTCTGACAAACTGTCTCCGGCCACTAGACCCAAAAAGAACAATCTTACTTTCATCAGTCCACAAAATGTTGCGTCATTTCTCTTTAGGCCAGTCAATGGACTCTTTGGCAGATTGTAACCTCTTCAGCACATGTCTTTTTTCCAACAGTGGGACTTTGCGGGGGCTTCTTGCAGATAGCTTGGCTTCACATAGGCGTCTTCTAATTGTAACAGTCCTCACAGGGAACGTCACACCTTCTTTCATCTTCCTGGAGCTGATTGTTGGTTGAGTCCGCGCCATTTTGGCTATTCTTTTATCCATTCCAATGGTAGTTTTTCGCTTTCTTCCACGTCTTTTAGGTTTTGGTTGCCATTTTAAAGCATTTGCGATCATTTTAGCTGAGCAGCCTATCATTTTCTGCACTTCTTTATATGTTTTCCCCTCTCCAATCAACTTTTTAATCAAGGTACGCTGTTCTTCTGAGCAATGTCTGGAACGACCCATTTTCCTCAGAATTTCAGAGAGAAATGCACTGTAACCAGCATGTACACCATTTGCTGCCTTCCTTCCTTAAATAAGGGCAATCATTGCCACCTGTTTTTCAAAGAATGAATGACCTCACTAATAGAACTCCACACTGCTAATATTTTGAACATGCCCCTTTCAATTAGTGATTCAATTACACAGAATCAGCAGCATGCATGTCATGACTGTTGGATTTCTAGAACTCTACTACACCTGCTAGTAAATTATTTGCCATGTAGAAATATCATTTCTACCAAAAACAGTGATTGATCGTGTGTGCGTGTGTGTGTGTGTGTGTGCGTGTGCGTACACACACGCACAGTATGTATGATACAATATACGGACCTTGCTAGCCATCTTTAAAGTATCTATTTCTTCCCGTTGTTTGGATAACGTTTCGTTCATAACACAGAGGTGATCACTCATCATGCTCAGCTGATCTTCATAACTCCTTTTAGTTGTAATTAATTCATCCTAAAAAGACAAAAAAAAAAAATAAATAAATCAAACACAGCACAAGCTGAACTACGAAGACAGTCCTGTAAGGTCAACAGAGAATAGGAAAATGCTGCAATGACTTTTTGTTCATCTCAAGGACAGAGATCCTCTGGAGTTTTATAATGAACATGCCAGAGGAAATGGGGGAATCAAAGAAGCATCAAACCATCATCACAGATACACACAAATGAACAAGCTGGTATTAATTAGTATTCTCCTATTCAACTACAGAGTTAATGCCAGTCCCAGCGTGGTGTTCCAGCCTAAGCAACCTGGCATGTTCCTATGGTCTCCACTGTCACAATAGACTGCATAGAGGAGCTGGTATCTGTCACAAGCACCTGGGGGTTGTATAATGGGGTGATCTGCCCCAGCCTGCTATGCATCATTAACCCCATGATTCCTTAGTGGTTAATGGCTCTGTTACCACATGCAATTTTCTGAATCAGGTATACTATGTGGGGTAATGTGATACCTCAGCTATGTATGTTTTCTATGAATAAATATGTTTTGAGGTTAGCCTTTTAGGTGTGTAGCCTTTTTTTTTCTTTTGTTTTCTACAACCTCTATATCCTGCCTGTGCAATGCATAGCAACCCCCCCATATGCAGCCTGTACAGCGATTGGCAACCCCCATATGCAGCCCGTACAGCGTGTGGAAACCCCCATATGCAGCCCATACAGCGTGTGGAAACCCCCATATGCAGCCCGTACAGCGTGTGGAAACCCCCATATGCAGCCCGTACAGTGTGTGGAAACCCCCATATGCAGCCCGTACAGCGTGTGGAAACCCCCATATGCAGCCCGTACAGTGTGTAGAAACCCCCATATGCAGCCTGTACAGCGATTGGCAACCCCCATATGCAGCCCGTACAGCGTGTGGAAACCCCCATATGCAGCCCGTACAGCGTGTGGAAACCCCCATATGCAGCCCGTACAGCGTGTGGAAACCCCCATATGCAGCCCGTACAGCGTGTGGAAACCCCCATATGCAGCCCGTACAGCGTGTGGAAACCCCCATATGCAGCCCGTACAGCGTGTGGAAACCCCCATATGCAGCCCGTACAGCGTGTGGAAACCCCCATATGCAGCCCGTACAGCGTGTGGAAACCCCCATATGCAGCCTGTACAGTGTGTGGAAACCCCCATATGCAGCCCGTACAGCGTGTGGAAACCCCCATATGCAGCCCGTACAGCGTGTGGAAACCCCCATATGCAGCCCGTACAGCGTGTGGAAACCCCCCATATGCAGCCCGTACAGCGTGTGGAAACCCCCATATGCACCCTGTACAGCGTGTGGAAACCCCCATATGCAGCCTTTACAATGTGTAAACCCCCCCATATGCAGCCTGTAGTGTTTGGAAACCCCTAACTCTTTTGAGTTGCCTAAAGTAGTGATTGAAGCGGTACTGTGACATTTTTAGAATTTAAGCCTACACATTCTTACAAATCAAATTATCTGAACTGTCAAACCAAAAAAAAAAAAAGGCAAAAAAGATGGGAAGCCAAAATCGTGAATGGTACGTGTCTGTTCTGGGTTCTCTTTTACAGTCTGCTGTTATTAAAACGTCCATGTATCTTCCTGACAGTGCGCACAAATGGCAGACTACATTATTCATGTCCAACATAGGAGACTGGAGCAGCGCTGATGGCAATCTGTATTCTTCAACATAAAGGTCATCAAGGAACGGAGAGCGCAGGGAATGAGAGGCGATAACAAGAGAGGAGAATGGGATGAAAGGCATTAATACACAGAGGAAAAATGAAATGCTATTTAGAAGGCATTTCTATCAAGTGACTGCGCCTGATGAGTGAACCGAGCAGGAAATCAGCAGAGATGTCTAATATTCTCCTCTATGTGATGGCAGAATTAGCACCAAATCAGAAATGGCCCTCTACAAAGAACTTCTTATCTGCCGCTAAGCTATAGAATCATTAGAGCCTTCAAGGGGAAGCAGGCCATTCCGTCCTACCGCACAGCATACAGCCCACGTATCACATTCTGCTCATTTCCTATACTATTAAATAGCCTCTCTCATACTTTTATTAGATGTAGAAAAATAAATGTAATTAGATATGGTACAAGAGATGGTCAGAGACTGCAGACATGATACAAGAGATGGCCACAGAGATGATACAAGAGATGATACAAGAGATGGTCAGAGACTGCAGGCATGATACAAGAGATGATGAGACACAGAGATGATACAAGAGATGGTCAAGAGACTGCAGACACGGTACAAAAGAAGGCCACAGACTGCAGGACATGATACAAGAGATGGCCACGGACACGATACAAGAGATGGCCGCGGACACGATACAAGAGATGGCCACAGACACGATACAAGAGATGGCCACAGACACGATACAAGAGATGAATCATAAGACACGATACAAGAGATGGCCACAGACACGATACAAGAGATGGCCAGACACGATACAAGAGATGGCCACAGACACGATACAAGAGCGGACAGACACGATACAAGAGATGGCCACAGACACATGATACAAGAGATGGCCACAGACACGATACAAGAGATGGCCACAGACACGATACAAGAGATGGCCACAGACACGATACAAGAGATGGCCACAGACACGATACAAGAGATGGCCACAGACACGATACAAGAGATGGCCACAGACACGATACAAGAGATGGCCACAGACACGATACAAGAGATGGCCACAGACACGATACAAGAGATGGCCACAGACACGATACAAGAGATGGCCACAGACACGATACAATATGGCCAAGAGATGGCCACAGACACGATACAAGAGATGGCCACAGACACGATACAAGAGATGGCCACAGACACGATACAAGAGATGGCCACAGACACGATACAAGAGATGGCCACAGACACGATACAAGAGATGGCCACAGACACGATACAAGAGATGGCCACAGACACGATACAAGAGATGGCCACAGACACGATACAAGAGATGGCCACAGACACGATACAAGAGATGGCCACAGACACGATACAAGAGATGGCCACAGACACGATACAAGAGATGGCCACAGACACGATACAAGAGATGGCCACAGACACGATACAAGAGATGGCCACAGACACGATACAAGAGATGGCCACAGACACGATACAAGAGATGGCCACAGACACGATACAAGAGATGGCCACAGACACGATACAAGAGATGGCCACAGACACGATACAAGAGATGGCCACAGACACGATACAAGAGATGGCCACAGACACGATACAAGAGATGGCCACAGACACGATACAAGAGATGGCCACAGACACGATACAAGAGATGGCCACAGACACGATACAAGAGATGGCCACAGACACGATACAAGAGATGGCCACAGACACGATACAAGAGATGGCCACAGACACGATACAAGAGATGGCCACAGACACGATACAAGAGATGGCCACAGACACGATACAAGAGATGGCCACAGACACGATACAAGAGATGGCCACAGACTGCAGACGTGGTACAAGAGATGGTCAGAGACTGCAGACGTGGTACAAGAGATGGTCAGAGAGACTGCAGACGTGGTACAAGAGATGGCTACAGACTGCAGACATGATACAAGAGATGGCCACAGACTGCAGACATGATACAAGAGATGGCTGCAGACATGATACAAGAGATGCATCAGTCTCTGGCCAACTCTTGTACCATGTCTGCAGTGCGCACAAATCTCTTGTACCACGTCTGCAGTCCCCTGCCATCTCTAGTATCACGTCTGCAGTCTCAGACCATCTCTAGTATCACGTCTGCAGTCTCTGGCCATCTCTTGAATCACGTCTGCAGTCTCTGGCCATCTCTTGAATCACGTCTGCAGTCTCTGGCCATCTCTTGAATCACGTCTGCAGTCTCTGACCATCTCTTGAATCACATCTGCAGTCTCTGACCATCTCTTGTACCATGTCTGCAGTCTCTTATCTCTTGTACCATGTCTGCAGTCTCTTATCTCTTGTACCATGTCTGCAGTCTCTTATCTCTTGTACCATGTCTGCAGTCTCTGACCATCTCTTGTACCATGTCTGCAGTCTCTGACCATCTCTTGTACCATGTCTGCAGTCTCTGACCATCTCTTGTACCATGTCTGCAGTCTCTGACCATCTCTTGTACCATGTCTGCAGTCTCTGACCATCTCTTGTACAGTCTGCAGTCTCTGACCATCTCTTGTACCATGTCTGCAGTCTCTGACCATCTCTTGTACCATGTCTGCAGTCTCTGACCATCTCTTGTACCATGTCTGCAGTCTCTGACCATCTCTTGTACCATGTCTGCAGTCTCTGACCATCTCTTGTACCATGTCTGCAGTCTCTGACCATCTCTTGTACCATGTCTGCAGTCTCTGACCATCTCTTGTACCATGTCTGCAGTCTCTGACCATCTCTTGTACCATGTCTGCAGTCTCTGACCATCTCTTGTACCATGTCTGCAGTCTCTGACCATCTCTTGTACCATGTCTGCAGTCTCTGACCATCTTTTGTACCATGTCTGCAGTCTCTGACCATCTCTTACATCATGTCTATCTTGTATCATTTGTCTGTAATTTTGTACTAGCAGAGCTCTGGCAGCCTATATAAGTGAATGGATATGAATCGGCTGTACAGGACTCACTCATACAGCCAAGTGAGAGGTATACGTGCATGGCCCCAGAAACACGGGAAATGCGTTGGAAGCTGTTCACCTGTCAAATTTCACTTCCATACATAAACTAAGGCTTTAAGGCAAGGATGAGTTTTCTGACAACCACATTTGCTCCTTCAAAAACAAGCAAGCAGTGACAACTACACCATTTTTATGACAAGTTCTGGAAAAAAAGAGAAAATAAAATGAACAGGGTGGGCTTAACTGGGGCTGATTAAGGTTCTATAAAACACTAAAATCTCCACAGTAGGAATATAAAGGGTAAATGTCTATCACAAATCTTCTCTCTACTCTACTGGAACACACTTTTCCTCCCAAACT